TGGTCCAACAAGGAATCATTATTTACGTGTATTTTGTTGTTGCTTCTGGTATCGAAAGTGTCAAAAACTGTTCTGATTTTTTTTTTCTAAAACAAAGCGTGCCATTTGAAAATCAAAAAAATAAACAATTAATAATAATAATAGTAATAGATTGGCGCTGACACATATGTTAGTGTTTGGCCGAGCTTCTCCTCCGATTTGTGGCGTGCGCCTTGATGTTGTCACACAAAGCGGAAAATAAACAATTGAAATTGGAAAAAATAAAAATTGTTGCAGCTTTCTTTCTTAGTAAATTTGTTTGCTTCTCGCAGCATTGATCCATTCTTTGCAAGTTGGGCGAACGTTGCAAAAGCTGCTATTCAATCGCTTGTTTTGTATGAAAAAAGGTTTTACATGCAAATAGATTCTAACAATTTAGAATTTTTGTGAGAAAAAATTTGAAATATTTGACATTTTCGAGACCTAATAATTTGATAAAAAAATCAAATCAGCTGCTTTACAGATACTACCTGTTAAATGTGCCTAGACATGTATATTTTAAATTTGTGAAAACTGCCAGTTTATAGATTTCAGCAGCGGCGAGCACAAAGGGGGGCTTAAGGGTGAAACCTTATCCTAACCGATACTGAAACTTTATTGCACGGCTAAGAAAATTGCGAATGATGGCTTATTATTAGGTACGTTCGTTTAAAATCTCCAGTAAAAAATGTCCAACATCAAAATTCCGGCGAAATGTCATCTATTCTCTCACAAGAGAAAAATATCCAAAATAGTAGGTACGCGAACAGAAAATTTGCAGAAACTTGCAAGTTAGACGAACAGCTTATAGAAATTTTGTTTACATTTAAAAGTATTAAATTGAAAACGTAAGAAAATAAATCCAGATGTCTTATCCTGATACAGTTCACTGACTAAACGCATAATTACATACTTACTTCTTACAAGTTTAATTAGTCGCATTTTACTATTTTAACCAAACAACCAAACCACCTGTTTTTGATCAGCTGTTTTCTTGTTGACAAATTGCTGTTGGCAAAAATTTTTCCAGCAGAAACTAGCAGCTTTCCCTTAAAATGAAATGTCATTTTTCTCTCTTAATTTCCCTTACTTTGCTAGTTTTATGCGTACGCGAACGCCAAAACCTGATAATTTGCGATTTTTTGGAATAATTATCTGCTTGTCGAACAGACTAATTATAAGACTTTTTCGAACACTCGAATTGAATGGCTTGTTTTTTTGGTTGACTAGCTGCCCGTGTGCGATGCTGTTCGCAATTTCTGCTTATGCCCGAGGGTCTCTTTGTAAAAAATGTAATACCTCGAGGCTTAAAACGGTTAAACAGGGATACACAATGTGTACATGTAACTTTCCGGAAGGTTTCACGCCCGTTTTTCAGTACATATTTCCAACCCTAATTCAGTAACGTGGCATTGATAAAATACCTCATCTCAGTATTTAGATAAATGCTTCCATAAGTATGCGAGGTGCAATGGGGTATAGTCGTTGCGCTGGGTATCTGTTACAGTTGCATGGCTATACTCAATCCCGACTCTTGCGTCCCCGTTCGCGCACTCTGGGCAACGTGAGCAACCCATGTGCGAGATGCGGTAACCAATCCGAGTGGAGCCTTGGGCCACGGCAGAAAGAGAGGAAGCTTCGGTGGGGCCACTCCGACTTATTCGGTTTAAGGGCTCACTGAAGTCTGCAGCGTCTGTTCACCAGTAGGTGCGGCTGCAAGCGGGTGTCTGCTTGGAGCAACCGGCTCGCTATATAAACGTGTATTTGGTTGCGAAACCACCCCCGTTCCAGCAATGGGTTGTGCGCTGGGTATGGGACCCGCCACTTTCAGTGAAGAAGCAAGGCAAAGCCTCGGATGAGACCCTCCTTACGATAACGACCACGGCAAACGTTTAAAGGACTACGATTTAAGGGCATGCACCTGGAATGTCCAGACCCTTAATGGGGAAGGTGCCTCTGCCCGGCTGATTGATGTCCTCGTAAGGACAAAAGCTGACATCACCGCCATCCAAGAAATGCGTTGGACGGGGCAAGGAAAACAATGTCTGGGGCCTTGCGACGTCTACTACAGCTGCCATGTAAAGGAGCGCAAATTCGAAGTTGGATTTGTGGTGGGAGAGAAACTCCGTCGCCGAGTACTGTCGTTAACCCCGGTGGACGAGCGTCTAGCCATAATCCGCATCCAAGCGAGATTCTTCAACATCTCGCTCATCTGCGCCCATGCCCCGACGGAAGAGAAGGATGAGGCATCCAAGGATCTCTTCTATGAGCGCTTGGAGCGCACGTACGTGCGCCTTCGCCGGGGCCCGAAACATGGTAGTATGCAGTATTAGGTTCAAGCATAAAAAGATCCATCAAGCTACGTGGCTGTCTCCGGATCGAAAAACGAGAAACCAAATCGATCATGTTGTGATAGACGGAAGGCACGCTTCCAGTGTTTTAGACGTACGCACACTCCGAGGCCCAAACATCGACTCGGACCACTATCTTGTTGCAGCCAAGATACGCACCCGCCTCTGTGCAGCAAAAAATGTGCGCCCAAATATGCAAGGAAAGCTTAACGTCGAAAAGCTGCAATCACAACAGACAGCCAGCGCTTTCGCTACTCGACTCTCACACCTGCTCTCAGAGAGCACTCTGCAACAAACCGACATATGCGAGCAGTGGAACCACATTTCTCGCTCATTAAGTACCGCCACCGAAGAAGTAGTCAGATTTCAGCGAGCCCGAAAGAAGAACTGGTACGATGAGTAGTGTCAGGAAGCTGCAGAGAAAAAAGACGCCGCCTACAGGGCCACGCTGCGATCTGGCGCAACGCGCGCTATGTGGGACCGCTATAGGGATATAAAGAGGGAAGCGAGACGTATTTGCCGCAATAAGAAGAGAGAGGCCGAAACACGTGAGTGCGAAGAGCGTGAAATGTTGGCCGACAGGAAGAATGCCCGAAACTTTTACCAGAGAGTTAGGCGACTTACGGAAGGTTTCAAGACCGGGGCGTACTCCTGTAAGACCAATAATGGCGACCTAGTAACTGATGTACAGAGCGTACTTAAATTATGGAGGGAACACTTTCCGTCCTACTAAATAGTAGCAGCACGGAAAGTTGTGTAGAAGAAGAACCCGAGCCCGCAGTCGATGATGACGGAGTCGACGTTCCACCGCCTGACTATGACGAGGTACGTATAGCAATAACGCGGCTGAAAAACAACAAAGCTGCTGGAGCTGACAGCCTGCCAGCTGAGCTATTCAAGTACGGCGGCGAGGAGTTAATAAGGTGCATGCATCAACTCTTGTGCAGAACATGGTCCGATGAACGCATGCCCGACGACTGGAATTTAAGCGTGCTCTGCCCAATCCATAAAAAAGGTGACCCCGCCATTCGCTCCAACTACCGCGGGATCAGCCTTCTAAGCATAGGTTACAAGGTCTTATCGAGCATATTGCGTGAAAGACTGAAGCCCACCGTCAATGAACTGGTTGGGCTTGTGGCTTTAGACCTGGCAAATCCACCATAGACCAGGTATTCACAATACGCCAAATCTTGGAAAAGACCCGCGAGAAAAGGATCGACACTCACCACC